GCTGCAATGCTACTCCGATGAGTTATGAAAGTGCGATTCTGAAAATGTGTACGGCCAGCACTCGAAACAAACCATAAATCTTACGCAAATAGCACTCAAAAAGCAATAAGACTATTTCAACGCCATTGTGTGCTAAACAGATTTCAGAAAGGCGATACAAATTCAAGACAATGCGTTTGGTTTGTTTTGAGCCCCTGCCCCCGAATTAGCCTCCGATTTTGGGTAGCTATGGCTACTATTGCTACCAATATGCCAATGCCAATACCATTTCCATGACAATACCCGGACTAGACCCTGGTCTAATCTATGAGCCAAGATCGCAGGCTGCTGGCTGTAAGATGCTGCAAGATGTTCCGTTTTGTCCAGTTTTTGCCGAATCAATTTGTTAGAGAAACAAAGGACAAAGGGTCGGAGGTTCTGGAACTGAGAAACTGAGAGGCGTGTGACATTAGCAGAGTATGAGGGTGGATTCTATTCGGTTTCTTAATGTTCCTTACTGTCCTCTGACCAAATGGACAGCCAACTGAGCGGATAATCGGATTGTCCAGGCTGACGTTGGCCGGTCAAAACGTAATTTGTGGGTTTTTAGGCCAATCCAGCTGCCAAGAAAGTTACGAGTATGCAAAAACTGCGGCGACAACTTCTTCTCGTGCCGAGATACAAGTAACTCTGGCCTGATACAACCAGCGGGTGGCTTATCGCATATCGTTTATCGCTTATCGCCATAATTCCCACTCAACACTCAGGAAAGTTCAAGGAATTCCAAGGATGAGGAAGCACTTTTGAGTCTCGGGACAACATTGTTGTCGTCGAGGCAAAAGTGTCACACAGGCAACATGCAACGTCATCGTTGTCGCGAGCCATTCGAGATGCATCTCATGGATCGGAGGCATCGAGGCATCGAAGGCATCGAAGGCATCTCGACATCGGCAGCTGACCCAACATGCAAAGGAGATAATCACGAGCCAAAACAGCCGGCAACGGCAACTGTGCCACACTTATCTGATCTGCAGCATCAATATGTCGTACCCAAAGATGACCAATATGCTGAGGTTGCTCACAAAAATAACAGAATACCTCAAGGAGCTAACAAAAGCAGCCCAAAATGATAAGAAAAGGTCTGCGTCCTTATCTCTCTTCTCCGGTTCCCTCAAACTTGGGCAACTATCTCGTATCTGTCCCACAGCAATTCAACTTTGTGCATTTGCAAGTGCCACCATCAATTAAAACTAATAGAACAATTAATGAACACAACAAACACAAACCGCAAAGAGCAACCACAAAGCGAGAACTTAGAAGGAGACAACAAAAAGATGTCGAAGATGAATATTACAATTTTCAAGGGAGTAGAATTATGAATGCACTATTTAATATATTTGGTATAAAAAAAAAATATTTCTGATATTATAACAGTAAATTGAAATTCTAGGATTGCCAGAAGTCTAATAATTTTAAATCACTTTTTTTTTTCGAGCTTCAAAAATATTTTGTTTGAAATTCTATACTCTAAACAAATATAACTAAACTATAATAACAATTAAATTAATTATTTAAAAAGTATAAATAAAACCGAACAGTTAAAAACTCATCATTAAGATCAAAACTTGAATTAGGATAATTTCGACGCCCTTTGTTTCAACCAAAATTATCTTAACTATACCTACACAAATGAACCCTTTTTAGAGGGTATAACTGGCGCATGCGGAACTGACTTTCACAGATAGCTAAATAAAAGAGTTTTGTTCTGCGTCTTCGTCATCAGCATAATGATCTCCGTGATCATTATTGTCTTTGGCAATTAAGCCAGATGAATAAATAAGTGAATGAATGGGTGTATGCAAGATGGGCTGCCAGTTCATAATTTCTCAACTCTAATTCCCAAGAAATTAGAAAAGGGTGCGGGTGGCTGTGTGTGCACCGCTCACCGAAGAAGAAGAAGACGAAGATCGCGGAGGCGAGATTGAACTGGGGGCGTGGTCCGACCGGCCACGCCCACCTCCGTGGCAGGCAAAGTGCACAAACAGTTAAATGCGATCGTCTGCCCCGCGTAATTGCAGTCAAAGAAACATGCAATTTAACTCGACTCGGGGAAAACAATTGAATCTATGAATTATGAAATATTTTAAGTCAAGCAAAATGCCACAGTCAAGTGTGGCAGCCACCTCCCACTCCCCCATTTTTCCATCTGCGGCTAATTAACTAAGTGCCACGCACCTTGAAGACTCAGCTGAAAAGCTTTGAGAGCAAAAACCCATTTTTGGCTTCATGCATTTTTAATTCCCCTAATAGCTTTTGGCTTCTATGTTGCTCTAGACCAGGCCAGACATTGATGGACCAGCAGGCAAACACTGGCGAAAATTAAAACACCAAAAATGCCGTCCTCTGCCACAGCTGCTGGCCAGATGCAGATTAACGCCCGGCCCCTGAAAAAGTCGCCCAAAAAAGTTGTCCAAAAAAGTTATCCTTACCTGGTCGCATCTGCGGGTGAACTAAGCCAACTAAGCGCAATGTGTCCTCCATCAAAATTAATTACCAAAGGAGCTGGAGGCAGCCGAGCAGCAAGGCCAATTGTCAGTTGTGTTGTGCTGAGCTCAAAAGTTAAAAGGGGGCGAAGGGGCCTTAGCCACCCCTAAATTCGCCACCCACCACCCCGCCCCTGGGGCTCATCAGTCAACACTTGCTCAACAGTCTAAAATGATAAATTGCCATCCCCTTGGTCAAAATCACTTGGCTTTTAGCGAAATTTCTGGCTGAGTCAGCAAAGTGTTGCATACTTTCGGGCGCCGCTAGATTACAGCCAATTTGGTTTGATATGTACAACATCTTTATAAGTCTTAACTAGATTGAAGAGAAAGTCTTTATAAAAATCCATAAAATATTTAGTATTACCCGTCAACAGATACCATTTAAATCGTGAGTACTAAATAAGCTAAATTATTTATAAGACGAGCTGCAGAAATTTTTATTTGTTTTAAAGAACCTTTTTATCTACTTAATTATTATGTAAAAAAGATGGGTATCCTGAAAATTGTAATAATGTTCAAATCAATTGTATAGTTCTTCCGCTGTCACTTTCGGAATGCGAATATCTTGTTTAATAAATTCACGTACAGCCCAACAATACCAGAACAATGCGACTGCAACTCGTCAATCATAAAAGAAGCATTATTCGGTTACTGGAGATTATGTGTGTGTGTGATTTATTGGCTAATACCCACTGCATGTGCCCTTCCGCCCACAAGTTAAGTCCAAATTAATTAACAACAAGGCAGCCGCTTTGTCTGTTGCCGCGGCGTAACACTTTGTTGGTTTTTAATTAAGGAGTTGAATGAAAATCAAAATTAAAGTGATTTATGCCAAAGATAAATGCGTACAGAAAAATGTCAGCGCTTTAATTATAAACAAATAAGAGGGCAATGAAGCCGCAGCTAGCGTAAACAAATAATTAAGAGCAGGCAATGTTCTGAAGTCACTGGAGGGTCGAATTTTATTCAAAAACATTTATGTCAATATTTACCCCCGACACAAGGATGTCAACCGATAGTCTAAGCTGGCGCTTTCTTGACGAGTCCTTGAGCATATCGCGGCACTCTGGTTTCCAGTGTTTACCCAAACCGCAAAGCTTTTCTCATAGAGTTGGTGGTGAAGGAACCCGCCCGATGTCCTGTCAGCGATAATGTCACACATGATTGCTCCTGGGTGAATGGCACATTGTGCCCTCGGTCTGTGTGAGTTTCTAATTAAAAATGTAAAACATTTACTTTTGTCAACGGTTTGGCGGTATCTAAATTGAATACACATTTGTGGGTGACATTTCCCTTTTGGCTTTTGCGCTTTGAGGGGGTTAACAAGGTCTGCTCTTTCAATTAAACAGGCTGAAAATGAATATACAAAAATAAAATAAATCCTTTTCGATGCCTCCTGTGAGGATTGAACTCACGACCCCTGGTTTACAAGACCAGTGCTCTGCCACTGAGCTAAAGAGGCTCACATGAACTACCTGAAAAATAACCAAAATATTAGTTACCATATCAATCAGAAATATTTAATATTTTTCATCTTATCACAGCATACTTCATGGACTGATGTTTAGATAAAATCTATTCGAACCTTATCGAGTTTCGTTTACGAAAATGTTTAGGTACTATGTGTTAATTAAACACTGTTCAATCATCTAAGTGTAGTTCAATTTTTAAAAGTGTTTTTATCTAACTCTTACATTTAATTTAAAATTACACTTGGCAAATTAAATAAGAATTTCAATGTTGACGTCTTTAATAATTTCCATAAATGTATTATTTGTCAAATGTGTGGTAACAAATGCTATGATTTTGAACTCTCTCTATTAATATCTCATTCACAAAATCATCTCTCTATTTAACCATAAACTCAAATTTAAAGTGTTGAAAAAATGGTTAGGCAAACCAAAACAGGTTTTGCCTCGCTTAATCCTTCCAGACGAATGCGTTGAAATTATTTATTATGACGCAAAACTTTTTTCCGGCCGCAGAGCAACGCGTTCGCTTTATCTCCTGTCCAAAAGAGCCAAGGGGTCTCGACTGGCATCCGCCAAAAACGATACTCCATGAAACCCAACCACCCACTCGACGGGAAATCAAAAAACAAAACTGGAACCTTTCCCAGTTAAGCCCCCGATAAAGAGCTTTAAAAGGTGGGCACCAAGAGCAGGACAATTTGGGTAATCTGAATGTTCAGTTAGCGCAACTTCAAAGGACACAAAATCTGCTCATGCGGCAAAATCGAATAAATGGACAATTTTACAGGATAATTCCTTAAAGAGAATGAAAAATGGGGATTAACTTTTAATCGAAAGAAGGTCAGCTTCCGCCTTTTATTCAAATTTAATTGAAAGGGAATTGGGATGGGATAGAGGTATATTTGTCGATATCATTTTGCAACCCTGTTGCAGTGGATACAAATGCCATCACTAGATGGCCAATACGATTGCAGTTATCGACTTTTACTTGACATTTCAGAAAGGGAATTACAAGCGAAAAATATTTCAAGTGCTCTATCGCAAATCTTTAAAACTACAACTTTAGCGAAATTGAAAAGACGCAATGCCCGTGGACCAAGTGATCATCTCGTACAGGCGCAGCCGCAGCTTTATCAATGTCCTGCTGCTCAGGTCGATGAACCTGTTCCAGCCTGTCCTGGTGAAAAGTCCCAGTGAGAAGCTGGTGGTCAGTGCCAATGGGATCTGCTGGACCGAGCAGAACTTGGAGTACCGCATCATGGTTAGTGAGTTCTTCGATATAGCCATTAGGAACGAGTACGGCGAGGTGCCCTACACCCTGGTTGAGAAGGAGGGCAACAACCTAGCCTGTGGCCTCTCTCTCCGGCGCATTAGGCACCTGGCTCTGGACGAGCGCACTGTTCATGTGGAGCAGGGGGATCTACTCCTGCGCATTGACCCAACTACGCCGTGCTCCCTGCACTGCAGCAATTGTGCGAACAAGGTCATTGGCGAGAGGCAGTATTTTCGGATCAGGGAGGTTCCCATGACTACCATGATTCCGCAGAACTACTTCTGCGCCCGCAGCAAGCTCGCAGTGTATCCCACCGAGGAGGAGCTCTTCTACGGCCTCAACTACTTGGTCATCTCCATCGGTCTGCTAGGCATCGGGGTCACAACCAACCAAGATCATGGTAGCATTCAGTGCTCCCGTTGCAAGCAATTAGTGGGCGAATATTTAGGCCGACGTGTGGCCGTGCAGCTCTACGCGGATGCCCTGCGTCTGGTGACCACCGATTCTCCATTCGAGTTCAAGGAGATCTTTGGCCACATCACACCCACCCAAATGATGATCCGCTTGATGCACGACGCCGACCCCTTTAATATGGAGAAGTCTCGCCTCTTCCTCAAAACCGTGCGTCCGGATGGTCAGTTGCAGCACCTGCACCTGCACGTGGACAGCAATCAAATCCACATTCTGCGCTCCGAACTGGACAATTCCGACCAGGAGATAAAGTCCAAAGCTGATTTGGCCACGGAGGAGGACACCAGCAGCGAGAGTGACGTCGATATGATGTTGAGCGACTCAAGCAGCAGCAGCATTAATCCACAAACAGGCGATGACTCAATCAATCGCATTGATCCAATTCCGAAGCCAGAAGCTACTGAGCCCCAGAAATCTGTAAAATATTTGAAACTACGTGGCTTTTGTGGCTTTCGCCTGAAGTATCTATTCTCGGGATCTGATGCCGATCTGAATGAAAACTACGATGCCACCAGTTCGTGGCGCGACCAGGGAATCCGCGAGCTTCGCATCTCATATTCGATGATGGTGGACCTGATGAGCGAGTTCAATGCCTACGAGCGTGTGGCGGCCGCCCTGGAGATGAATCCGCCACCCATCAAGGCTACTTATCCCCGTCTCACTTACATAATCTTCGAGCCCGACGAGGAGTTCTATGCCAGGCAGGAGCAAATTACAAAAATCGCCGGTTAAATAGCCAGTTTCATTAGAATTCAACGCGCTCAATAAAAGCAAGATATCATTATCAACCATTTCAATATTATCCATCAAAAGTTTTTTATTTCTAGAACTTCCTGATAGAACTTTCCCCTAACAACTTTATGGTGCTTTTCATTCAGCCCATAAAAATTATATATAAAAGTATATTTGTCTCTGGTTTATCTCTGGTCTTTAAAAAGATCTTCAATTTAAAAAAATTAATTTTAATTGTATTTGAACCTTGATAACTAAAGAGTGTAAAGGGCACCCCTCTCGTCTGCCTTAAAAAATATAATTGCTATTATCCTGTCGCGTACCCCATAAAATGTTCCCCAAATTTACATTAACCCTTCCCCTTCAGGGTATTTTTCTTAACATTTTTACAAGTTTCTTAACTCTCTCAGACAGAGATTCACGGCATATTTTCTTAATTGTCTTATTGTTGGTAATTAGTACAGATTTAATTGCGGAAACCCTTATAAATTTTCTAGACAACCGATGCGGTTTATGGTTTAACTCCCCCTGGAGAAAGCCAGGACTGACCACATCATTAATCGTTGGCTGGTTAACGAAAAACAATTTGTCCAAATAACAATTAGGGCCAGGCCAACAACACGTAAAGCACCCTCAGGAAAGGACACTCCAACGCCCACCCGGCAGGAAGGGGAATCAGGAATTGGGAATCAGGATCGGGATCAGGGGAATCGTTAACAGCGTTTGACGGCTGACAGTTGGCTAATGAAAATCCGAGGGAGTGAAAGTGTCCAAGGATGTGACGCAACTTGATTAATGATTGCACAGATTTCAAAAATTTCTTCTCTTTTCAGTTTAAATTTCTCTTTAATTCGGGAATGTTGGGTTCTGCAAAATCCATTCATTATGTATTCATTCCCTGTCCATTATCCTACATGCAATTTGTTGCATTGTTCAAAGTGGGTTTCAGCTGTTTTCTCTGCTTTTTGGCTGGCACAACAATGAGTTTCAGTTTGGGATACGAAATAATTCGTTGGCAGGTGGATAGAAGTGCCTAATGGTCTGTGCCCCATTGTTGCGCAGGCTTTTGTGGTTTTGGATCTATTACATAGTGTGTACTTCGTACCTCACTCCCTAGGAACCTTTCTAAATTAAGAAAGTGCATAGAGGTTATCGCATTTCTTATTTAAGGGCGCAATATACAGCAATTGCCAATAATTAACATAATGAAACCATAAATTGCGCTAGTTGAAGAAAGTCCAATGACACTGCCAGTGGGGGAAAAGTTTCTAGAGAAAGCATGCGAAATTAATATCAACGCAACGCCCCATAAATTAATTTGAAATGCACTTGATGCCTGGGTCTCTAACAGATCTCTCGGCTAAAAGATATATATTTATCTTTTGGGAGGGAGAGTGAAAGTAAGTGTCCCCCTAGAAAGCCTGTCCATATGGCCGGACCTGAACGCCCTTTCACTCGCTCCACTTGTTAATTACGAAGATGTATGCGTGTCGCGCACCACAGACCAATTAACCCCCATTATGGTCAGCTGAGGGACAGCTCTTAACACCCCACACTCGTCCTGGTCCTGGGGTCAAGTTCTGGTCCAAATAGAGGGGGCCGGTAATTAAGATTTCCACGAGCAGCCAGCACACATCCGTGGCGAGACGCAAAACAAACTCATTCCAGAGGGGCCAAATTGCTTTATGATGTTGCAGATTATGATAATGAACGATGCCATCTGGACTTGCACTTGGTACATTGACCAGGGCTATGTTGACACTTTAAGTGATTTAATGTTATTGTTTTTCCCATCGCCCACGCACCCCAAAACGATAGCAGAAAATACAAAAGATGGGATATTACTATATTAAAGGGGAGACTAGAACCAAAATTATTAACAATCCAGTAGCCATTTTTAAACTATTACTTATTTCAATTGAAAGGTTTCAATAAAATTGATTTTCGCTTATCATTTTTGGTCATCGATTTATATATGTGGCTATACATTTTTGCCAGTTTATTGACACAATTGCCAACAAATAAGTCCCCAACTCCAGGCCACCGAGAATGCTGATTGCACATCTCTGTTTCCCATCCCAACTCCCACTTTTCACCAGATTTTCCACCTCCCTAGCGAACTGCGAGTGTGAACTGCCATTGAAATGTTTTTGATTGGAAAAAATTTAATTTCCTATACGCTTCACTCTGCTTATCGCGCTTGCATTGTGCTTCAAATTTGACAGAAAAAAATGTTGCCAATTTTTTCGCCGCACTGCTGGCAGCAGGATTTTAAATTTAAATCAAGTATTGGCCCAGCGGATATCTAAACTGTTTTCTCTCACCGCATATGTTGTACACAAAACCTCAAACCACAATTAATCAAGGCAAACGCTCTTGACAGCAACAAATTCATTGACACTTTTTTTTCTAGACATTTCGTAAAAAGTTTCACATTGGCAGTGCAGAGCTTCAATTACGATTTTTCGATTTGTTGTGCGAAAAAGAGGATTCCCACTGCCAATGAACGTTCATTAAACGCTCTCCTTATAGCCAAACCGAGCTATCTTTTTACCTCTATTTTGGTTGGCATTCAAACACACTCGTTTCACTCGTTCGCCGTCAGTCCTTTGTCCCTGGAACAATGGCGGAACCGCAGAGAGCCGGCGCAGAAGAGTGAAATTCATTTTTTCCATTAAATCGAGTCGTTGATTGTGCATGAAGTGAGGAGGCGCAAATGTCAGGGCTCTTCGGTTAGATGGGGGCGCTACGATACTTGGATAGGTTGCCGCTGTCGAGGAATACGGCGCCACCTTCACCCCGGTGAATCGCATCGACATCCGAGTCCCACGGGTCCTGGTTTCGGAAGTTGAATGCTCTAACTTGGGTGGTGCTTTCATCCAAGCAGGAAATCTACATTGTATTGTGGTTAGTATATAATATAAATAACTAGAAATATGCATCTGGTTGTAAATCCAATTTTCGGTTTGTGTTAATTACAACTTTTCAACTTTCATTAAAAAAAAATATTTTAGACAGTAACTGATATAATATCTATGTCTTTTCATAGAATTTCTATTTTTAAACAAATCTACAAATATATCAAGGTATCAAAAATATATTATCAGATAAATAATCATATATGTTGTCGTATTCTTTAGAAGAGCAACGTTCGAAAGACCCAAATATTTTTCTGCCTATTTATACATTGATATTTAGGATTCAGATTCATAAACAGGGTCTTCAAAATGTTTAACCTTTTAAATACCTTAAAAAAATAAACTAAAATATTTCGCAAAAAATTATTTCAAAGAGCATTTCCCATTCGTGTTCATCTTGGGTTTGTGGTCCATTTCGAAAAACTTTTTCGCTCGAAATTCGATACACTTGCAAATGGCTTTTTGACAAACAATGACATGGACCGACTCACCTACAATTGCGAAGACATTTCTTGGCTTTCTTTTTTCCTTTATTTCAACTCGCTTTTGTGGTTCTCCCCCCGACGAGAAACGCATTTGCAAATGAATTGCTTATTGACAGTTTGATGGAACGATTCCCTGGCTGCCAATTGTCGATTTTTCAGACTTTTGTTATTCTTTAATTAAACGATTTGCCCGGCAGAGAAAAAACAAAATGTACAACTGAAAGGGATTAATTTTGTCAGGAATGAGCTTAGTCAGAGTTTCAGAAAAATATTCTTTAAAAGTGCACTGCATGTAGCATACTTTTAGTAGCTAACGATACCAAAAAACACATTAATATTCATTATTCATCTTGCTATTAAGAGGCACTTTCGAGTTTAAAACTCATCCGAAAGTCAGTTCCGGCTGATTGCATTTTGCAGGACCCTCGACATGCCATGCGACATTTCCCGTATCATGGCTATGCCACTAATTGAAGTCGCCTCCAGCAATTAACAACTTGCCCGGCTGCTCATGTATGCAAAATCCATTAAATCACTTAAAAGGAGGAGAGCAGCACATTTGAAACCACTTGCAGAGCAAATGACACATAATATGACTACAAAACAGTTGCCGCGGAGATGTGCAGGAGTCGGGAAATTCGCAGGACACGCACTCGAAAGCTGGGCCCGCCCTTTCCGATGTCGATGATAATGTAACAACACTCAACCTCTTGGCAAAAGGAAAAAAAATGGGTTTTTCAAACAGCAAAAGGGTTGGTCATGCCTTAAAAGAACGGAGGTGGGGCAAATGAAATTGTCACAGGCACAAATTTAATTACATCAGCTGGGAAGAGGCATCAGATGTGTGCTCCAGAGCTTAAAGCTGCCCATAAATTCAGGTGACTCCCCAGAGCTCAGCCCCTTCCGAAAACACTCCCCCTTATGTAACTGCTCATCAACTGTCAAAATTGAAATTCCAAAAAATGTCACAAAATTTGACATGTACAAAAAAGAACTCCCAATAATTCACATACGTATGCGTGTTGAAATATGTCAAGCATGAAGAACTGATAAGCTGGAAATAGGTTTCGGTTGGGTTAGATGAGGAAGTTCTAAAAAATCATCAAATTCATGTGGCATACTTTTGGGCCGCACAACCTGTAACAGTCAACTATAGAAATAGAACATCCCCAAAAGTTTTAATTTACAAATAACAAATACACCTGCTTCCCATCCAGCACCCCATTTTCAATTAGCCTAAAACCCAGCCACTAAAAGTGATGAAAAAATTAACTGTTTAATGCCTTTTATCCCACTCATAATTCGCATAATGACAGAACATCTCCCCGTCCCCCTTGCAGTCCGGTAATTTGGCCAGCCGACTTTGGCGAAGAGCAAACAACAGACGCAGCTGACCACTCCCGGATGCACTTCAACTTTCCACCCTGTTGCGTACAATCAATGGCCAGGACACCGAAAACCCGGACGGATTCGGATACGGATGGGATGTAGGTGGAGACGGAGATGGATCTGGATCTCCCTCGTCGATGTTGACGCCACACGACCGTCGCGTCGTCGCGTTCGGATTGTTGCAAAAGTGCGAAACCGCAAATGTTAAACGCAACAC